CGAGGACCCACAACCCGACAGTAATCCATCTCAGTTCTGGATGCTGTGAAACGCACATTTTCTGAAGAGATGTGAAGGGAAGCAAAGAGCAAGAAAACCCCCCTGGGGTGAACCCTAAACCCTAATTGAGAATAGTTGGGGTGGTTGGGGCGGGACTACATGCTGACGCAAGCGGGCGATTAGTTGGTGCGTCCCTATTCCTCAAGTAGCACACCCACCGCACGCACACTGTCTACACACCCTTAAACCCTAAACCCTCAACCCTTAAACCCTAAACCCTGCTTCCAAAAGCTGCGCCCGAGATGTGGCCTCCCAAAAATTTTATCCTCGGTATGAAGCCATGGCCAGGGTTTGGGGCTCCCGGGGTTTGAAGGGATCCGAGGGCTTCAGGGTTTTAGGGTTTAGGGCTTAGGTTTTAGGATGCAAGATCCCAGGCTTCAGCAGTTTAGGGTTTAGGGTTTGCAGGGGGTGGGTGTAGAAATCTTCCTGGTCCCTTTGCATTAGAGGGACGTAGTAGGGTGTGGGGCCAGGGTGGGGCTGTGGGCTTCAAGCTGGTTGATTAGGCTATGGTCCATGGTGTTGCCAGGGTCTTCGGTTTGGGGTTTGAGGTTCAGGCTAAGGGCTTCGCGCCTTAGGGGGCCTTAGGCTTCTTGCTCCTGTATCGAGCTCCTGGCCCTCTCACCGCTGCAGGTCTCTAGAGCGTGTACGGCTGTGTGCACCAAGAACTTAGAAGGAGTGGAAGCAAGCAAGGAACTCACAGCATGTACTGGGCTTGTGGGATGTTCATCTTTGGACATGGCAGGGACTTTCGCTTGAGTCAAATGACCTCACGCGGCACTGAGTCAGAAATCAACAGATTTTCCAGCCTGACGACGCGATCAAGAAAGGTCGGAGGGCATTACTCAAGACTACAGGGAAGGCGACAGCATCACTGTGCCCAAGGCGTTAGACCAGACCGGCTATCAGTAAACACACATGTTTTAGGTCGGTTTAGGAAAAACCGGCGTCCAATGCAATGATCTGCAACCAGTCAGCAGCATGATTACAGATGACAGTGTCTCTCAAACAATGAAGTATCTGGGTCAGGTGGCATGTTCAGAAGTCTGTAAGCATACAAGCCAAGACATGAGCCTCCGAACATAAACCGACGCAGTCGGATCCTTGTTACTCAAGTGCCCCTAAATGAGGCACCCCTGAAGGACACAGAGCTCAAGCACTGCAGAGGGTATCGGCCGCTTGGGTGGGTGGCTTTTAGGTTCCAGTATTTCAGGAGTCACTCAAAACTCAGTTCCTGTACCAAAGTCTCGTTTCTAGTCTGTGGTTTGTGATTGTTTACAGTCGGGAGGTTCAACAGGCGGTACGAAGGGTCGCTTCGGAAGATAGGCATGTTTGTTGATCGATCTCTTTTCCGTGGATTGCCAGAGAGTGATGGACCAAGCAGTCGAGAATTTGGTCTTCTGATTCTGATACCGAAGCCTTTCGATCTTTAGTTAAGGTAGGCTTGGCAGTTGTTGCCATCAAGTCGGAAACGATCCTGTCCAACAACAGCCGTTTCCCTTCACTCGGCAGCCTGGCTTGCCTCGGGGAGCCCTGAGGCCAAACATTGCCAGCAACGGGAAACATCCGGTAATCATCGAATCGTGAGTGGGGTTCGTGCCTTGGGGGCTTTAGAGCTTCAGGGCCTTCTCGGGCTCACACTCCACCGCTGCTTTGCAGTGCAGAGCTTCGGCAGGAACTGATGTTGCAGAGCTGGCACCAAGAAACATCTGTGGGGTGTTCCTTACCATGAGCTCTTCTACAAATACTACCATACACACAAGCAGATCGACAAAGAAATATTACAGGAACCAACCATGAATATATACGTCTTCTAGGGAATGCTGCGCTGCATTGCTGGCGCACGGAGGGCTCGCTCTGATGCGTTTTCGACCTGCGCAGGTGGGTGTGAAGTCCAACAGAGTGGTAACGGTTTGTGGGGTTTAGGGTTTCGGGGGGCGGTTCGGGCTATAGGTTAACATGAGCCCTGCGAGCGAAACCATCTCACAGTGGTGGCGGAGGGGGTTATGATAGTGATTCGCAACAGCCAATTGCTACGGTAAGCCCCAGAGTCTAAGAGCAAGTGCCGGACTATGGTGGTTAAAATCGTATTGGAGCACTGTCCTACAAACTTGAACTGCACGGAAGTAACACAAGATCAAGAGGGACGAGTGCCCCTAGTAAACTGTCCACAGCGTGTGCCAAGGTCGCTCCCATAGAGTTGATTGCCAACAGCCAAGAACTGCTAGCGGTTTCTAGTGTCCTTGAAAGCAAGAACCAACATGTCATTTATTCTCTGCTTACTATTGTATCGATATCACTACATGTTCGCAAGGCAGTCAGCATAAGCTTTAGGGTGAAGCCTTTACGGTCGAGATAAATTCATGGCTCTCCACTGGTTCACGGTATGGTACTGTGCATTTACTACGGACGTCAGCGTCTACTGCAGACTCTTGTAAAGCTTTGGGTTCAGTCAGGGCCCAGCCCAAGTCTCGCCGGATGCCCACCCCCCGCCAAAGCGCGATTTAGGGAAGTTCGGGGCCTGAAAACTCAGGGGACACGAACGCTTGAATCTTGAATCACAACCGTCGCTTATAAGGCTCATGGATGTTCACAAACAAACACAAGCCGAAGGACGGAGTGCCCACTAGCATCGAGTTTTGCTGACCCCTTGTTTTGCAGCTGTGCAGCGAGATCAGAATCAGTTGATTGATTCTGACTGCGAACACGCGATGGTGCCTACCGCGTTACCATATCTGAAGGTCGTCGAAAGGGCCTATAAGTGTCTAAGTGTCTAACACGTACACATGCTTGGCGGCATAGTCTGCAAGTCTACAGCCGTTGAGCTTCTCCCTCTAAGGGGCCACTTGTCTTCACGTATTCTCCGCTTTTCGTGATATTTGGTGTTCGCATTCAGGATGCTGGAAATTGAAAACCAGCTTCAAGCTTCGCTCCAGCTCCGGATTGAGCAGTATAGGGGGCTACTCTGAGGGGTGCTATATGGCAGCAGTTGAGGGTTGGAGGCTCCGGCTCGTTAAACCTATAACCTACCCAGAGATCCCAATACGCCAATACCCCCTTAAAATAAGGAATACAACCTAAATTAGAGGAAACTTAATATTATGATTTTAGGTATATATTCCTTAATTGAGGGGTATTGGGTTCTCTGGGTAATTACCACCCGAGTGTATAAAGGGGCGCATAGCCGTGTATCTACGGCCAACCTGCAGGCAGACTCCCAATCGAGTCGTCTCGTAAAGAAGATGATGGTGCTCCCAAGCAGATGTCCCATCTGGAATCTAAAGTGTAGGGTTTAGGGTTTAGATTTCGCGTGTAGCGCCCTTACTATGGATTCAGACCCGTACTTAGGAAATCTCCTACTTCCCGTCGAAACTGGGACATCCAATCCCAGCCCTTTGTCTGGGCCCTCTGTTTCCGGACTCTCCGGTGACACTTTGCCCAAGACTTCAGGGCACAGAATTTGGGGGGACAAAAACAGCTGAGCTCTTCCGAAAGGGGGTTGGACTTGCACGGCGAGGGCCACTTCTAGCCGCAGTCGTCCTTAAATCCTAGCAGGAGGAAGCCGTTCGTGACAGGTGCAAACACACTTAACTCATCGCATGTCTCCGGACATGGGAGTTTCAGAAAACCAGGTACCTATCATCTATCGTCATGCAGAAATGATCAGAATACAGACAGTAAAGGGTTGAATCCTGGTGTTCTGAACCCTCCACAATGACAAAAAGCCTTCGGATCCAACTGATCGCCAGGAGGCCCCGAACCCGCACAGGGGGCTCGAACGCGTGGGCGAGACTCTGCGCTTGAGGTGCTGACAAGCTCACCGCAATCCAGGTTACCCTAAAATCCCTAAGCCCATCCATAAGCCAAAACCCTAAACCCTAAAACCC